AAGCGTAGAAAATCATCGCCAGCATTTACAGCAGCAAGACAGTCTAGCAAGCATGCACCTGGTGCGTTAACAGTAAAGGATTGTTAAAATAAAAACATGTTTCTGCATTTCCGTCTGCGATCCTCTAGGAACTGTTTGCTCAGATATTCGGAAATGTTCTTTTCTTTTGATCTCTGGAGTCTCCCCTGGCATGTCCCAATCTCTGTGCTAAACAGACAGGCTTTACGCCAGCAAAGACGCTTATCAGGAGGTTTTTGCACTACCTTCGCTCCCCGCTTGTTAAAAGAGCTATATTTGCTGGAAAACGACTGAACGGTCCGCATGTTTCCATGTCTCCTGTGCATACCCACAACGAAACAACAGTAGATGTCCCAGGAAGCGCCCCAGATTGTGGTCTGAATTCAAAATATTTCCTCTATTAAAATAAATCCGAAACCGATTTTTTTAACCAGACGCAAATATGGTGAGAGTTTATAAATAGAATGTCCATCACTGCAGGCAACGGCGATAGCTACTTATTACCTTCTAAGTCCAGAAGGAAAACAAAACAGACAGATATCAGAAATCTGGGTGAACTTCTTAAAAATGAAATATTCCTCTGTAAAAATGAAATACCGCTCCAGATTGCAGTTCGACTGCAAGGAAATAAATCACCAATAATAATCGGAAAGAAAAAAATCAGAAGAAGGGTACAGTGAAAGAAAGTATGTTATAACCAAACCGTTTGCCAGTAAAGTCAACATTTTCATTTGTGTGTTTCTAGTCCAAACGTAACAAATGAACGCTGTGAACATAAGGATAATGTTTGTTGCTCGACTATGCATCAAAACTATTATTATTTAATAATATGAAATAAATGTTGGAAAAAATAGTATTTCCTTTATTTTTTAAGTTGCTATTTATTTCGCCCTTTCTCATGGCCCAAAGATTTCCACGCACTGTCGGCAATCGACCATTGCAAATGCACGGCCCCTCAAATGCGTATCCCAACATCTTAATGAATACCATAATTTCTTGTGTATTCTATTATTCCATTAAATAAGTTTCACCACCACTGCTGTAACGTAGAAGGTTTATTGAGCAATAATCTGATTTTTTTTTTACTTTAATTATCCGGGATCTGGAGACGGATTCACCGTAACATTCTATTACCAGCTCAAGCCGGAAGAAGTATAGAGACAAAAAAAACTTCACGGATTTTTCACATGAATTAGTACATCATTATAGCCATAACTTCAAAGGTTACCGTGCATTTTTGAAACAAAATGCAATTGACCCATATGGTTGGTCAATACCCATGAATCGGAGAATTCCAAACTAGTTCTGCTCATTTAGTCTGGAGACCGAAAGAAAAAAAATCATCTGGTGTATTTGTGCAATCCCACATCACTTCTTAATTTCACACAAAGACAAATACACAATGGTTCCCCATGCCTTATGTTTTGCTCAAAATTTAAGTGGAAATGGTAGATTTCTGAATTTCTGAAAGTCCATTGTCTTCCATATTTCTGGATACAGCTCCATGTCTAGTCAAGTTTTTTATTCCCTCTCCGTATTTGGAACAGCTTGTTACAATTTTATTTTGCTCTGCTTACGGACATGTGAAACATTGAATATTATGTTGCATAGTAACAGATTTGTAGCTGGGAAGCCTGCGTATCAATCGACAAAAATGGCACAGTGATCACCAAGCATTCATTAGAATTTGTAATCGAATAATAACATAGACATTCCTGACAACACGTTTTGGAATATATAGATCTCGGATTTCGTTACACATCATTTGCTGTTGTTTTCAATCTATTATATGGCTATAAAATTTCCACCATTCTTTCTATGCAGTGTATTAACGGAAGTACAAGCTTGTTTGCTGTGCTGTCTGAATTCCAGCGCGGTTTTGCGCTGTGCCGATAATTATCCGGACTTTATAAATGCATATCGATATTGAAAATAAAATTGAATACATTGCACCGAAGTTTTCTTGAGAAGATTAATTAATCCGAGCGTCATTAGTTTTTATCACTTTCCACGGTATTTATTGTTATTATTCACGTGATCGTAGGGGCATCAATGGTCGAAGAGTTTTTGACTCCAATATACCCATTTTATGGAAGTGAGGAAGTCACCTGTTTCAGTTTCCAAAGAGTCAAGCCATTAAAAAAAAATGCTGGGCAATGGTAACACTTTAACTTTTGTGGAAACTTCAGTGACGTTATTCAAATAAAACAGCCGCACTGAAACAATACTAACAAATCCGATCGGCTTTTTCATTCAATCGTGCCCAATATGAGCACAATTATACAAAATCCTTCCACTGAAAAATGGGCACAATTCAGCTGATATACCGCAGTTTCACCCAACGTGAAAAATGTGACGTAGGCATCTGGATAGAAAAAAAGATCAAGTATCCACCAAATTGACTTAATTTCTTACCATTATAACACTTGACCAAAGTATTAACAATTTTATGAAAATTATAAAAGTTACCAGCCAGTACTTTACATCCAACGAACATTTTACAACATGCCATTAATATCTCAAAACACTCAGATGATAGTTTTAGTTTTATAAATGATTACAATGCGAAGCCAAGTCATAAATATGCTAAAAGGTAATTATATAAAGTTGCATTTATACCTCAGGTTGCAACGTTTAACAATTGGTTCTGAGTGGGAGAATTTCAGCATTAACAAGAGTGGGTGCATTTGTGCTTAGGTATAGTGTATATGTGTAAGTTTGCCTGAGTTTGTGCGCATTTACATGTGTGTTAATGGATGTGCATAAGTGTCCGTGTAACTGGTGTTTTATATATATAAACATATGCTCTTTTAGGTATGATTGATGTATAATAATTCACGCCATTTCAGTCTGAGTACTCCTAACTTCCAATCGCCATCCCCTGTTGCACACAGCGGAACAGACTGAGGAACAAATTGGAAGATAATCAATTTAAATCGTGTTATTGTACATTAAAAATAAAACACTGACGTACAAATGGATTTCTAAACCCTGTGTCAAATGGAATTAATATGTCCACAAATAAGTTGATGGATTCAAAATGAATATACTCCATCGACCTCAGTCCATTTTTACAAGTGTCATTTGTGGTAGATGTTTTCACCCTATTTACAACCCACTGCATAGATAAATCCAGGTTTATCGCAGTTAGTACGTATTTTGGCAGCTTCGCGGCACCGTTTTTAAATTCTTCTGTGGATTACCACTGCCATCTCCTGGTGAATAAATAAAACTGCAACTAGGAAAATGTAGGCTGAGAATGCACGCAAACCCTTTTTAAATTGCAAAGAAGCCAATACCTGTATCGTTTTTCACAATGATCGTTCTTATATCTATCACGTTTAATTGTAAATAGAGTTAAACCACGCTTCAAAATAACTAAAAGACCTGTTATTTTTCCACTAGACGCAATAAATTAGTAAAGAGATATTTGAGGGGCCCGTGTTAAAGACGAGACTAATAAAGGTCGTTATTTCCGCAGACCCTTTTGTCTAGGCACCCAGACAAAACAAATGGATCGCCTTCTCTGGAAAAATACTGATTGTAGCTGGACAGTTGTAAACTCATTAAAAAGCGAATTCCAGACGGCTTGCCAGACCCTTCATTTTTATTGCAAGTCTCCTTGTATAGTCTTTGAAGTTCCAGATGCAACAACAGAGGGCGTCACAACATTATAACCGCTCAGGGTGAGCACTTCTTTAAAAAATATTTTTTAAATCAATTTCGCCATTGTTTAATGAATTAATAAAAACAAAACAATGATTGAAATGCTACTCGACTGTTTGCCGGCAGATACTGAAGAATACTCCAAATAAAGACCGTCAGTGTCGTGTTTATGCACTTCGCCCCTTAACCTCCAGCGTTTTACACCCAATAAACGCTTACAGCAGTCATTTGCTTTTATTGCGGTACACCACTCTGGATTTTACTAACAACAGCCACTGCCAAGACTTCTAACTACTCGGGCCTCTCTGCCCAGTTTCCAAATCATTTGAATCCCACTAAATCTATCCAAACTGTCGTCGGGGTCTTAAAAAAAAGTTACTAGGGATCTTACAGTTGGAAAGGAAGTTACAAAAAAAGCCAAACACTACCCAACATTCTCTTTAGACTAATATACTTTTCTTCCGAAGAACTCGATACTTCTGGGTTGACTAGTTAAAGTAATGGCGGCAGGGATTTGAGCCAGTGCGACTTTCTAGAATTATTTGCCTCGTTATAATGCGATAAAATCTCAACAATTTTGGACCTCTTCACACGGACAAGCAACTCAAGATTATTCATTCCCATTTGCAGCAGAAGTGCTGCATTTCTCGGATAAGTAGCACACAACAAATCATATAAATAACCAGAGGCCTTGGCGCATGGCCAGGCGACAGATAAAAGTTGTTAATGCACAGTTTTGCACGTTCTCGGGTTAATTGGTGATAACCGGGCGTTAAGCTCAATCGCATTCTGAATCTTTGTCATGAGATCCGTTTCCAAGCCAAAATTGTTAGATCACACTTTCTATTTTCTTCCCTTTTTCATAAACTCCAATGTTATTCTAATTTTAGTTACCCCTCTAAGTCATGTTATGTCAACAGTGGCGATAACATTTCGTTGCAGTATTTACTAAGGACAAGCCAAACTTCGAGTCATGTTTGCAATGTCAGATTTTGTAGTAAAATCCAAAGATTGAATGTGAAGTAAATCACTAATATTTGCAAACATTGTAATTGGGTGATATTACCGACACAGTTTTTAATCTTAGTAAGAGAATTGGATGGTTTTCATTGCCATGACAATTTGATTCATTGACTTCATTAACTCGTTCGCCTGACAATTTACGTTTTGATTCACCTATTTAAAATACCAGTAAAAGGAAACGTGCACATTTTAAAATTTTTCTCCTCGGAATGGAGAACTATGGGCATCCTGCAGTGCTGGTGAAGTAAAAATGTAATTGAGGAGTTCCATGTCATTCAGGAAGAGAGACCATATTTTATATGTAGTCAAACATATATTTTATTAGACAACAAATAAAATGACATTTCATTACAAACAGTATTGTTTGGTCAATATGACACGAGGTAATCATTTCAAACGTGTACACAAGTGTAAATGTGTTGCTCTACAGTTTTCAAGACGACCCCCCCCCCTCCCCAGCTAAAACACGTTGGTGGTATATGTTATTTCTATTGCACCCAGGCATTTTACTTGTACACATTACATTTATTGACAATGTTGTTTGTTTATTTATTCCATCGCATAAATGTGTCAAAACAATTTTAAGGGTGACATTTACACACAAAACATAGGTAGTTACTAGTTATACATATAGGTAGTTTTAAACCAAATCTTACACTTTTCTTTGCACCACAACACCGATAAATACAAAGTGTCTGAGAACTTTATTCGTGCTTTTCTCACAACAGACAAGAGTATCGTGTAGCATTATGCTCAGCGCTGCTCTTTGAAATACAACTTATATTAGCATTCTATGCAAATCAGTTTCATATAATTTCTGAAGAACAACACAATCGTCATGCACCCCGGGCAAGGCCGTTACTCAGTCTCACAAAGACGGCTAAAGCCTGGAGTTTCTACAGGTTCATTCACAGTGAAAATAATACAATATATGTTCCAAGTTCACCACGAAAATAACATTTCATATGCACTACACAGCCTGTTCTCTTTATATTAAACATCCTGAGTTAAATTGAGATATTCCTTTTTTTGTTTACACGATCTTGACTCGGACACCGCCCAAGCACAAAGGCCCAGTCACAGGGATAATCACGACAACAGACACAAGGATTCAAGTATATAAGCAGCCTCGTTTGCTGCATGTAAAACAAGTAAATATTAAACGAGTACAGTATTACTGAATTACTGTCCACACTGAATAGTCGTGGATTAAGAAAAGGTAGTTTTCATGTAAAGTAAGGTAGATTCCGTAGCCACATACTTAACCTTGCCGTAAATGTCTCCCTCTTTGGTTCCCAACTAACAAGTGTATCAGTCTTTTTACCCACCAAATGCAGTTCAGAACGGGCAAAGGAATAAATTGTGCTAATGGGATGACAAAATGTACACATAGTCTTTCTGAAGCAGGGCCTAACTCGATTGTAATTGTGAATTAGTCTTTTTTTCTCTCTCTCTCTCTCACACACAGAGAAATATTCTAATTCGTGTCACCGGTCGTCTTTAGGTCGTTCCTTGTTGATTTTTTTCATCTTCATCCTCCTGTTCTGAAACCAGATTTTAACTTGCCGTTCGGTGAGATTAAGGACTCTGGCGACCTCATATCTGCGGTCTCGTGTGAGGTACATATTAAACAAGAATTCCTTCTCCAGCTCCAAGGTCTGATGCTTGGTGTAGGGGCAACGTTTCTTTCTGGTAGATCTTGCATGCAGCCAATTGGCGGAAGGGTTATCTGGAAGTGTGAAGGAAACACATTTAATATATTTTCCTTTTACATGCGAGTCAAAATGTTGCAACATTCTCAGAATCAAAACACCAGTACAGATAAACAAATAAAAAAAAAGCTGAGGTCGTACTGGATAAATAAGGGTGTTGCTACACTTCTAGGTGTTTTCACTGACATTTCAACTCTTAATACGAATCGTCTTGCTCAATGAACAAACTCTATGAACGGAGCCCAAAATAAATTAGAAAAAAATAATATTGTGACGGTCTGTAAATTAGACGTAAATAATCCAATACGTTGCCCAATTGTTCTTCAATTGGAAGTAATAATAGTTTGTCCTGCAGCTTTAGCCCATGATTTTTATTTGCAACAAATGCACCTGAATTAGAGTTAATTAGATTTAATATCTTCCCCTCTCTCTTCTACAACGAATGGAAATTAGTTCAGTTCAGATCCGAATTGTGTTCATGACACTGCCGAAATGTACAGCGTTAAGCTTAACCAATTGTTTAAAACTATTTGAGATATGTAATTAAAAAAAACGTAAAACTGGAAACAGATTTTGTCATTTCGCCAAACAATGTAGGAATATGTAACAGTTTGAATTTAAAATCTTTGTCTAGAAAAGTAATACAAAAATGTGGTTTCCACACTTACTTGGATCCATGTGTAGCTTATCTGCGTTTGACTCAATCTCTCCATTATTTTCAGTGAAGGAAACCTCGCTCACACGTTTGTCGACAGGAGAAGGTCCACACGTATAATCTGAGAGGGCTAACGTGTGTGTTTCAAACGTGGTGCAGTCACTCCTGCGCGCAGCTACAGGCTCGGGTTTGATGCCGTAGTGTCTACTGGAAGGTAACCCGGTGAAAGACAGGGTTCCCGGCATGGGTTCTAGCCAGGAGCGCATGTACCTACCATCGGGCGCGGCGGCAATGGGCGCCTGGTGCATGTATGGGTGATAAACAGTGGGCATATTGGCAGAGCTCTGCGCATGAACGGGGCTCCAGGAGGTGCTGAACACGTTGGCTTTGGACTGGAAGTTACATGGGGAGAAGTCGGGGTGCTCAGCAAGAGCTGTCTGTCTGGAAGACTGAGCCAGTGGACCCGAGACGTATCTGGACGACAGCAGCTCCTCGTTCTCATGCATGATAAGAGAGTCGACATAATAATTGCTGATAGTCCCTGATGTCGACATTCTCGGCAATGACACCGCAAGCGCCTCTGAAAATATGAAAGAGCAGATTTCAATGTAACAACTTACCGCGGCGACAAGTACAGTCTGCTAATATGGTGCAGACGCACTTCCTCACCATTGGATAGGCTCCTCACGTGATTCAAAATACAACAATAAAGTATAAATCAATCCGCAGCTTGTAACAGGGTCAATCTTTTATAGGGAACATTTTATATAGCAAGCCCGTACGTTTTTTTTATGCAAAGGGATATAATCACCTCTATATATGGAAGCTGATTTCTTTGTTGCCAGCTGAAATGTGAAGCAAGTATTCGGTTGCAGTTTTTTTTTAGGGGACTATTTTATATCATAATCAATCTTCCCATCAGATGCTCGTTTTTTTTTAACGAACACCTTATAATCGTTAACCTTCACATAAAAGATTATGGAAAGAGTGAAACTATAAACTGCAGAAAATAACAACGAAGAAGGAGATTGGACAGGTATTTATTATTCATGCTTAATAAAATTAAAAACGCATTCTTGACAAATAAAAATCGTTGACGAAGTTTTAAAGCGTACCTCTGAAAAGTAGCGTGTGTACCTGCAGCTGCTAAAGATCTCTCATTTAAAAAGAAAACGAAGCGCACATAAAGCACACTGTGACAACCCCCGTTTTATAACAGTTTGAGCAATAAAACTACGTTAGCAAACTACAGCCATTCTAAAAAGGCTTCTCTTTTTCACCTCCAACAAACCATAACAAACTACAACTTCCGCATCCAACGCGCTGTTTTAGTTGACAGATGCAAATATACAGACAAAATACATTTCTTGGGACACCGGACAATTCTACCGTCCTCCTCTTCAGGCTCGTGTAGTTTGGCTTTTGCTTTGGTCACTTACTGGTACATTCTGTTGACAGTAAATCGGGAAACTCTCCCGCACAGACAGTATTCGGAAAGCCAATCTGTGATATGCCTAAGATACGTTCCTCTTAATAGCAAATACAAGCAAACGGTTAGATACATTAGCAGAATTAAACGTAAGAGTGATGTTGCAGTAGAATTAGAAAATATTCTTACTATACTATAATCGGCCTATTAAACATTGTATGTGCAACTAATTACCATGCCTTAAAAACTAAGTAGGCCTCTCACACATGCGTTCAGGGTATAAATATATCTACAGCGATGGACAATTTCACTTACATACAGTTAATAAAATTAACGACTGGGATGGAAACCAGAAGGCCAACATTGTGGCTTAATGTGACATGGTTTTAACGTAAATTATTTTCAACTTTTTTTTGGAAAATGGATTAAAAATCCAGAAAACAACCAATCTATAACACAGGTAATAATATGTGTTGTAGGTGCTTCTTTTTCGGTTAGCCTGGTTAATCAATGCGATTATAGAATGCAATGTTTCATTTCACGTGTAAGAGTTAGGCGTCAGTGTATTTGTTCATCCAATTCCAGTCCAGAGGATTTAGCAAGCACTGTGACAATGTGATACTGGGTTGTGTTCCATTCCGTTACTCCTTTTGAAACATTTTTAATGTATGCAATATCTCAAAATCCAAGGAAACATTGGCAATAGTTATTCCAATCCAATGCAACATTTTCCAATTTTTGAAAGACTTAGATCTTTGAAGACAACCAGTAGCATGGCTTGGTATCTGCACTATCTAGTTTTCAAATGAGGCTAGTGGTCTTAATGCCAATTTTCTATTTCTTTGTTGTTATTTTACAATTTATATGCGAACATTTTGAGAATTTCTGCTACAACAAGTATAATTTAAAAATACCTACGGTGCATCTCGACGGAAGCAACTGTGTTAAATAAAAGCCCCAATCTTCAAAAACTATCGTGAAGTTGTTGAGCTGCTTCGTGGATCACACAACATAGGAATATCCATAAAACAAAGACATTTTTTTTTAACCTACATTAGACCAAAGTGCTGGCGACGGTCGTGAACCGCTTGCTGCAGCTTCCCAACACCACCATCCACCCCCACCCCACACCTCCTCTTCCAACATCCGCTGGCTGTATGTACCCTTATTTCAAAATCTTTACGGTTAACTGAAATACAATTTCCTTTCCTCGGTGTTTGGGTCCTCTATATCCCAAACTTTCTTTAGATTTCCGTGCATTCCTTATGGAGAAGGGGAGATTCATTCTGTCGCCTTTGAGCCAGCATTGACTATCTGGTCAGCGGAGTGTTACAGCGTCTCTGGCGGAGTGCTAAGGTCTAGAGCAAAATCGAGAACCATTCAAGTCCAGTGTTGAGCCTCAGAAAGAAACCGTTTTGTGTTTCCTGTGCAGATGGCCTGAAATTAGGACTCAAATATAGATTCTATATTTACAAACTGAAGTTAAGGCGCTCCGAAACTGCGCAACGTTTAGAAGGGCAGTTCCTCTCTTGTAAATGTAGTTGTATTTAAGCCTAGAGAGAAAAAAATATAAAATCAAGCCACCATTAAAACGCCTGAAAGAATTTGCCAACAACCTTGGAATGTGCCGCTTCTTTCTGTGCTGCATAACGATTTATAGATGTGCACGAAATGTTTGATTTTAAATGTTATTGTTGAATTCGTTACAATTAGCACCATGAATTCTCAGACACAAATGAAGCACTATTTTCTCGCAAAAAAACCCGATAATTTATGAAATTTGGTGAGTTGCCTGGTTTAGACTTACGTCTCAGGCTTTTTGTTAACGTTCAACACAGGAAACTCGCATGTTCCTTACAAAATACAGCTCTGGAGCGACGTGTTGTTAAAAAAAAAGACTACACAGAGACAAAAAGCTTTCAAAGTACGTGGATACAATTCACCAAAGGTCTCAGGAAGAAATTAGTATCATCACTCGAAACCTGTGCAGACTGTTCAGCAATAGTCAAAAATAGAGGAATTCACCCATTCTCATCTTAAAATCCACACCAGACTACCGGAATTCACCCTATTGTCATTTTATAGCAAGGCGAGTGCAGTGATAATGAAGCTAGACTGCTATAGATGCATGTGTTGTTTGGAGTCGGTCAATTTACCTTCAGATTTGTGCTAGTAACATGTGAATTGTAAAATATTTTATTAATTCATGCAACCTTTACAGCACTTAAGACTTCCTTCGAAATGCACGACTCGCATTCGCTTACAAACTGTGCTCAATACTTTGTAATACTACCCATCCAAGACTGTTATTTACTGAATGCACCTTGTAGCCAGGGAGAAAATAAAATCACAAATTAAGTTTTTTTAAAAAAATATTTCAAACCTGGGCTCAAAGCGAACGGTTCAAGTCAGAGACCACATTCGATAGGTGAAATTTTCTGGCATTCTCATTGTATCGTTTAGAATAAAATTTAACTGCTGACGCCTTTACTTCCGTTCAGATAACATCTGTGTGAAGTTGCAAAGCCAATTTGTGGGCTTGCAGAATGCTATGACGACGCGTGTTCAAAGTGCTTTCATCATTTTCGAGTCTAATTGGCGTATAGCGTATAATTTGGCAAAGATTTACAAGATATATGTAAAACATAAAATAAGACTAACTAAATCCTGCAGGCATCTGCACGAGAGGGTTCAAATCTAGCCGAGCCGGTCCCGTAGCCACATTCAAGGGTTTAGTTTCAGTAAAATCGTGACTGAAGAATATCTCAAATACCAAGTGTTATGTTGGATGTTGGTTGCTTACGAAAGGTTGAAACGCTTTCTGGTTCACCCGCATTGGTTCGAAATGAAATACTCCATTTACAAGTGTGCAAATGGACCGCATACACCGGCTTTTCAATGCCAAACCTCTAATTTGAGATTAAAAAGGGAAGTACAAAACTACTGTGGCTCCTTTCTTTTTTTACAAAGCCAATAAATCATATAAGCCTCGAGACAATTTTGCGGGCAACCGGTAAACAATAAAATTCTTAGTGAATGCCGAATGATATTTAAAGTGTAATTTTTTTAATGTTACCATTATATTTGTGAAAACATAACAGGAAGGAAGCGCACGAACTCACATTATTGTGTGTTTAAATTGAGAAAGGCTGTTCTTCATTAATAATATCTAAATAAAACCACAATCCACAATTTACTCAAAAATGTAACAACTAAAGAAATATTTCCGATTTCTTGCCAAAGTGTATCGAATTACAATACTCCGCAAATGAAAGGAAAGGCGTTTGGCTAAAGGTCTGTGCTGAACTGCCTTTTAAAGAGGGCCTGGCCACTGTCAGCAGTGATGTTTTGAACAGCACAAACTTGACTGTGCTTTTTTTTGTGAATCTTTAAACCATGCCGAAGACAGCTTTCAGCTTCTGCAATCATATTAGGATAACATCACGCCTCGAATGCACAACAGCCAACATTTTCCCGAAGATATCCTTTTGTATCATGCTGAAGAAAAAAAATCGAGACAAATGTTTTTAACTCACGTAAAGTATCCTTCTACAGTACGCCATGCAGTGATATACCTAACAAAGAGGATGATATGATTTAATATTGCAAATGTGCTATTTATTTTGTTCGAATTAAATGTGGATTATTTACAACTGTAATTTCAGTTACACGGGTATATAGGAAGATGCATGTAAAAACAATTCCTACTAAAAGATTCTCAGCGAATCTGCTGTACTTAGTACAACATAGCAAGACGACAATCCATATTTATATTATATATGTTATGTGAAATTAATTTAGTGTTGCATTCATAAATGAGCACAGAATTTATCCTGTGACAAGGTTTACGTTGTGCAATCATCTCGATTCATAGATTTTAAATTAAGTAATTCCAATCGGATGGTCAACTCAAATCACTAGACCAACAGAATGGAGAGCCATAGTGTTTGTTTACTTGCTTTGCTTAGATTAAAGCTTCTGTTTGTCTCGTCTAAACAGCCAATATAATGGGACAAGTCTGCTTTCTGTGTTTAGTCTAGTTTCCTGCAGAGGCAGGAGCCGCCGACCGAGCAGCGCTTCCACTACACTCCGCCGAGGTCGCTGTTTCGAAGAACAACACAAATTTACGCGCCGAGGCGCCATGTAATGATCATAACCGAGGCCTTGTGCTTTCAAGTAATTTCTTTGTCTTGCACATGGCGGAATATATAAGCTTCAAATGCGTATCCCAAAGCGCTTGGCGCTTTCCCTTTCTATTTTAGATCTTCATCGGGAAGTACAGGATCAGTTATGTATCAAAACTGCTCCGTTTAGGCGATATGAAATTATCATGAAATATTCATCACTGACAAAGAAGAAATCTGCAATGCATCGATTACGCCGCTGTATAGATGAAATTGCAGTTATTTGCAGTAGCATTGTGCCGACCTGCATCAGTGTTTTAAAATAATCATTCAGCAGCGCATATACACTGCCAGGAAATCTGAAATTGATCATATTTAATTTAAACGTGAACTTGATCGTTCTTAGAGAAAAAAAAAGCAAATCTAATGTATAACGTTACAGTCATTAAATTCCAATTAACACGAGGTTAAGGAAGAATGATTCAATGTTTGCATGGCAGAGTATTAGAAGGCATGCTGCTCTTCGCAAAATAATATACAAAGTTGTACCAGTTTGAAAACGGTCTCTCGAAAAAAAAATGCATTTGCTATTCATTTTTAAAAAGCATCGTTATTGTTGACAGAAAACATGCCATTTTACTGTTGGCCTTAGAAAATCAAAACATTTCACTTATCCGTGATTATTAAGTAACTGCGGTTTCTTTCCAAACCAGCGACAGAACTCACTGGCGAAGAGGATAACTGCAGTAATTCAGGCAGTTTCGTGTTGTAGAGATAGACTTGAGCCCCAACAACATGAAACTACCTAAATCACACATCAGCTCTATCTCAGCTCTTTAGATTCCTATCACTGTACACACATAGGATAGTCTAAATGTAAATTCAACAAGCTTACCAAACCAAAAAAAATCACAGTATGTTGTTACTCGTCACAACCTCGCATGCAGTTTACCAAACACGAAATACATTGCTTTAACCTGCAATGTTGTGGGTCCCTGAAATAATTTCCCAAGTAATTCAGTTCTTGCGTTCCAGGCAGGAATCGTATTCAAATGAATGGATTTAATTGTAAATTCAGCACGAGAATAATTGTTGGTTCCCCACTAAAAATGGCGGGTTCTTTATTATCGCTGTGCAGGATTTCACGCGATCTGAATGCATGTCATTCACTCTAGTGATGATAAGCCATAGCAACTTGTCTGCACTGCAATTATCACGAGTTCAAGGTTTGTCCGAATAAAAGAGCTAGTCAGATGACATAGCCTTTCGAGATAAATTTTCTTCCCCCCCCCCTCGCCCCCGACCCTCCACCCCCAGCCTTGTTCCCAACCCCTCTGCCAAAAAAATACGATATGGTAACTTCAACTCTTATTTGTGAAAAACACTGTTTGAATTTTAAAAAATAATAGATACAAAATAATGAGAAATAACCTCTTACCTATCAGCTTAAAATATAGGATAATAGGCCTATGCATTCGTTCATTTTACAGATCTTACCTTCATCGTAAATGTGTCCAAAGGTCTTATCTGCTTTTTTTTCGATTCCTCACTCTGTTCTGATTTTAGCCGATTAAAAGATCTGAAAGTGTATTGTGCTCAGAGAAAGTCAATTTCCTACATCCGAGCCGTGCTCTGCTTCCTCTGTCTTCGTGGCTGTTCGCTCAACTGAAACCACTCGTCCAAGACAGCAACAACCCAGATATACTAGCAAGTCATAAAACTCAACAAAAGCCGACAAACGTTACAGCACCATTGCTATATAGCCCAGACAAATTACGACCGTCTAGGTAATATTTAAATAGATTGTAACGGTAATTGCCAGTCTTTACACCCACCATTCCTGCTGTAAGCTTCCTCAACAGATAAGGTAAGAAAGAAATCGAACACAAAATGAGATAAAACAATATGCATGTACCTATCTCAAAGCACTCCGACCAAATACGTTTATTCATCTTTCATGAAAACACAAGTTTTGTTAACGTACACAGTGCAGCAGCAATAGGATTGAGCAGTATTTGAGTCTTCAAGTGAAAGCATTTCATCTTTGCAAACCCAAATGAATCAATTCTTTTTTTTCTAAATGTGAAATAACGGCAGTGAATAAAAGGTCCGACGTTCAACTCTTCTGTCTTTGCAACAATGTTTCACATTTAAATGTGATCTGATGTTTCAGTTTATGGTATGTGATATCTTTACGTAACAACACACTTTACAGCATATTCACATTTAACTTCTATTAACATGTCAGTATACGGTAGGTACTTATTTTGGAATTATTTTAACAGCATGGGTCATCTGTATTCAGACATTACAAAGTTTGATTTACTTAGCTGATAATTGGTAATTAGCACAATTAAAAAGATTGTTGTCAGGTCCCCCTCCCCCCACGGTTGTTTGGAAAAATCATCATACAGGGCGATAACTTCTGTTCATGCCTTACTTATCAGTGGCAATACATTATTATAGTTACAGAAACAGACTACCGCCACAAATAAAACAAAACACGTAAATCGTAAATATCTACAACCAGCACAAGGCTGAGGAGTCAGAGGTAAGTGGAAAAGTTTTTAGTCTTTTAGTGACACTAGCACAGCTTCCCGATGTCCCTTTAAAATCTGTAAACCAGTGTTTGCGTTTATCATGAAAAGCTGAAGTTAGCTGTAAGCTCCCGAATCCTGTTCTCACGGTTCATTTTCTTGAGTTTCATCCTGCGGTTTTGAAACCAGATTTTGACCTGTCTGTCAGTCAGGTGGACGCTGCGGCTAATCTCTAGGCGACGCTCTCGAGTCAGGTACATGTTGAAGAGAAACTCTTTCTCCAGCTCCAGGGTTTGATGTTTGGTGTAAGGACAACGTTTTTTTCTGCCACTCTTTGCAGTCAGCCAGTTGGCCCCATTTTCAGCTTTCACCTCCCCTAGTAAGTAAAAGGGTGAGAAAGAGAGATAGAAAAAGATGGAAAATAGAGAGATAAGCAGAGAGAGGCGAGATAGATGAAAAGAGAGGAAGAGAAGAAAGTTTATCATGTTTCGTAATGTAATCTTCTGTACTTGTGGTAGGTTTGTGATTTTAGTTGCAACTTTTATTCTACGGTGTCACTCGATGTACAAATATTTCAGTTGCGTTATGAAATAGATAAAATGCTGCGTCTTTCAATTAACAATATTAGTGGATTCCATGGCACTACTTTTTTTTAGTTAGAATTGTACAATTTATCTTGTCAGCACCCACTGAGTATATACACATAGGGCGTAAACAAATAAGATTTTCACTTATTTTGTGACTGAAACGGATCTGTGGAATACATTGTGTAAGAGCGAGCTGTAGGCCCATTTAAATCGAAAATAAAATTAGTTTGAAATTCTGTTTGGATGCTGGTATATACGTGTAATTTTAAATTAATTCCTAACCTTGTTATGTACTTGGGATGACACTATCTATTTTATTTGATTTTGCAAGAATCTTATTCATACTCCTATTTAATATGTGTGGATACTGAATTAATAATTAGTTGTCCACTGAAAGAACTATTTTCGTGCAATTTTCAGTAAAAGTTCAATATTTTGCTTAGCACCAGTAGGCGTGTCTTTCCCTCTTTCCTTCATTTCCAATTTATTTCAGCCGCGTGTCTCGCCATATTTAAAATCTGTGCTTCACTACTGCTTTAGCCTTAGGAAATCAAGCAAACTGCTTCGTGCACGTAAACAACCCAAATTGAACAGACTGAAGTATTTTGTTCTTCGCTGGAATGTTTTAAGCTATTTCAACGCCTCATCGGTTTACTTTATTTGAAATAATTTTACCTATTTTTCCGAAAGTTCTATAAAGACAAAACTAACCATCTTCACAGTTTGACGGCGTTTCAGTTGCATTAATATCGTTTATTTGATCACCTGCATTTCAGACACAGCAAAAACTAACGACTAAAAACATTTAGAGCTTCAAATTTGTTCCTAATTATATACAATGTGCAATAATTATGCACTGATAACTAGCATCAAATATCTCGCAAAAGAGTTGTATATCAGCCTTTCGTACTTTGAAAACTTTTTCTAAATTTTTCATGTTTTTTTCTTGAAAAGATCTCTAGAACATAAAACATCCCTGGGTTCCTTCGAGTATTATTTATTGGCTGTGTTCTGTTTACTTTGGACCCTGTGTGCAAATATGTCCTTCTATGCGGTACGTTTAAATAACTGCAGAAAGGATTCGTGGTTTGTAACTTATCTGACAAGTTTAGACTGCGGCTACAATTGACTCCGGAGCGTGGGCTCGTGCTATAAACTATAGTAGGCATTAATTTTTACAGCATAGCTCACGCCCAAAAATAAAAAGTTCACAAGGTCAGAATAAAACCCTCTTTGTTATGCCTGTTGGCTGTACCTGCCACGTCTCCCCGCTTCTGAGTGCGAGCTGTATAAATTCCCCTCGGCCTTTTTATTTACCTACCTTTTGTTTCTTTCTCAGGAGAGTGTTTACTGCTTTCTGAAGGGACAGGAGATGACTCCTCGTTCGCTGAAGAAGCCGGAGCTTCTGACTCTTCTCTTTCCGAACCGCAGGTTAAATGACCAGGGGATGTCCCTTCACTTCCTTTTCTCCCCAACTCAGTCGGGGTCGAAGCTGAAGAAGGGGGTGTTCCATATCGGATCTGGGATTG